AGCTTGTAATTATGTCCCCTCGTGTTGGTGGTGCGTGATATAACTTGGCGAGCTTGTAGTTATGTCCCCTCGTGTTGGTGGTGAGTAACATAACTTGGCGAGCTTGTAATTATGTCCCCTCGTGTTGGTGGTGAGTAACATAACTTGGCGAGCTTGTAGTTATGTCCCCTCGTGTTGGTGGTGAGTAACATAACTTGGCGAGCTTGTAGTTATGTCCCCTCGTGTTGGTGATGAGTAACATAACTTGGCGAGCTTGTAATTATGTCCTCGTGTTGGTGGTGAGTAACATAACTTGGCGAGCTTGTAGTTATGTCCCTCGTGTTGGTGGTGAGTAACACAACTTGGCTTGTAGTTGTCCCCTCGTGTTGGTGATGAGTAACATAACTTGGCGAGCTTGTAGTTATGTCCCTCGTGTTGGTGGTGAGTAACATAACTTGGCGAGCTTGTAGTTCCCCTAGTGTTGGTGATGAGTAACATAACTTGGCGAGCTTGTAATTATGTCCCCTCGTGTTGGTGATGAGTAACATAACTTGGCGAGCTTGTAGTTATGTCCCTCGTGTTGGTGGTGAGTAACATAACGAGCTTGTAGTTATGTCCCTCGTGTTGGTGGTGAGTAACATAACTTGGCGAGCTTGTAGTTATGTCCCCTCGTGTTGGTGGTGAGTAACATAACTTGGCGAGCTTGTAATTATGTCCCCTCGTGTTGGTGGTGAGTAACATAACTTGGCGAGCTTGTAGTTATGTCCCCTCGTGTTGGTGGTGAGTAACATAACTTGGCGAGCTTGTAGTTATGTCCCCTCGTGTTGGTGATGAGTAACATAACTTGGCGAGCTTGTAGTTATGTCCCCTCGTGTTGGTGATGAGTAACATAACTTGGCGAGCTTGTAGTTATGTCCTCTGATGTTGGTGGTGCAGGGCATTTCAAACAAATGTTACGGGTTCAAGTTTTCCAGTGAGATTTGCCTTTTTATGCCTTGTCTGAAGGGTTGTTAGTCCTAAGGCCCTCAGTTTACTTGTATAATAGAGATGACGTAGTTCCGGAATCATCTTAGTCGCTCTGTGTTGCACTTTTTCTAGGGATGTTAGATAGTTCTGGAGGTAAGGTTTCCATGTCTGTATAGAGTAATCAAGACTGGGATATACTTGAGATTTGTGCAGTTGGAGGAGCATTTTCTTATCTTTTTATTCAAAGGTGTGCTTTATAATTCCTAGATCTCGATTTGTTTTTTTCACTGCTGCCCCCACTTGATGTGTGCTGCCTTCTGTAAATGATCTATCACACCGCAGAGTGAGAAACTAGGCAGGTCTCCTTACACCCGTTGCCTCTGTTCACCTAGCAGTGAGTAGGAACCTGGTTGTAAGACGGCTGTTGTAGGTCGCAACCTGGGGAATGGTGTAATGCAATAACATCTGAGGAACAACTCTGAAAAATCTGGGACTTGTGTCCCAACTGGGCTTATGCTCAAGATATGGGTTAGACCACCCAAACGGCTAGTAAGCTGATAAGTGGCGAATATGATAAAAAACAAAAAATCTCCTTATTGACAGTATCCAGGAAAGTGTTAATAGAATAGTTGTGCTTGGGGTTGTTGTATACTACATGTAAGGTCTTGCATTTTGTAATGTTAAAGAGCATTTGCCAGTCTTGGGACCATTTGTGACATTGTCCCGACTTGTTACCTTCCCTAATATCTTCGTATCGTCCACAAACTTGACAATTTGGCTCGATATATTTTCACCTATGTCGTTTATGTAGATCACACACAAGGTGGGTATACATTCCTCTTCTGTTTACTAATGGATTTCCATGAAGTTTTGCATTGAGTCATCGATGCCTGCCTTCTCTCTCACTATTTCCTCCCGGGTAATTTTCTGTAGTTTGTCTCTCACGAGCCAGTAATCTCCATTGTTGAAGTCATAGTATTCCTCCTCAACTACTGTCTCTCAACTATCAAGATTGTATTCCATTTTAGTTTGTAGTTGTCGCTGGTCAGAGTTAGTTTCTCCCCGACGTGGACCTCGTCAACCATAGCCTCGTCAGTCGTTAAGACTAAATTTAGAATGTTGCCTCCCCTCATGGGGTCCAACACGTGTTGCATGAAGAAAGTGTCCTTAACATGGTAAGATTCACCCAGTCTATTGTCTCATGATTAAAGTCTCCCATGATGAGGGCCTATGCACTGGATGACTTAATGGAGATATGCTGGATGACTCTATGGAGATCTGCTGGATGACTCTATGGAGATCTGCTGGATGAATCAATGGAAATCTTCTGAATGACTCTTTGGAGATCTGCTGCATGGCTATGAAGATCTGCCGGATGACTCTATAGAGATCTGCTGGATGACTCTATGGAAATCTACTGGATGACTCTTGGAGATCTGCTGTATCACTATGGAGATCTGCTGGATGACTCTATGGAGATCTGCTGGATGACTCTATGGAGATCTACTGGATCACTCTAATGAGATCTGCTGGATGACTCTTGGAGATCTGCTGTATCACTATGGAGATCTGCTGGATGACTCTATGGAGATCTGCTGGATGACTCTATGGAAATCTGCTACTTCCTTCCCTGAAGCTGAGTCAGCCCTATCACTCATTCAGAGTACTGTACAGTGATATCTCTGTTAGCCGGAACACTTGGTGCCGAGCACTTCCTGGAATGAGAGATTTCTAGGTAACGAGACGACTTTCTCAAAGCCGGAAAAAAATCCCACATCCCGGGAATTTTCCATAATTTTCCGGATAACAGAAAAATGTTCTCGGAAGTTCCAGAAATTGCCCATTACATCATCTCTCAAACCTGGAAAAAAATCCTCGTTCCCCAGAATTTTCCAGGTATCGGGAAAATTTTCTTGGAATTTTCCGTAAAATGTGCCCCTTGGAAAATCGTCCCCAAGCCAGAATAATCTGGAAAATTCCGGCTTTGGGAACGATTTTCCAAGAGATATTACTGTACTGTCATCACATCTCAGGTTGTTTTTACCAGTCCTCTTTAGGTTTTGTATCTCTCTGGAGACCCAGTTTTTAATTTCATTTATCCATCCCAGTCTCTGCCTCTCCCTGGCCCTCCTATCCTCAACTTTGTCCATTAATATTCCTGTTAATATCTCCTCATCCCCAATTATATGACCAAAGTATCTCATCTTTCTTTTTTTGTACATTTCAAGCATTTCTCTCAAAGTTTTTGTTGATCTTAGCACAGTACCTCTTCATTTGTTTTCCTGTTTGTGTAGCTTATTCAAAGGCCTCCAACATCATTTATGGTGTCGACTGCTGAAAGTGGCCATACTTCTGACCCATATACCGGTCCTTCTCAAATAAAGTCCTTATCATATAAAGCCTCCCGTATATCTACCATCACAGCTAATGTAATTTCCCAAGTACTACACAAAATTTTCCACTTGTTTCAGTTCCCTGTAGCCTAACTTAATTTTTAGACCATATTTTTCACCCTTTTTCCACTAATCTGTTAACGAGGTTTTGTAATGTCTCTTCACTATCTGTGATAAGAGCAGTATCATCTGTATAACTACTGAATACAGAGTATGATATAACTCACCATTAACTTTTAGTCCTTCATTATCACTAATAACTTTTCTCATTAAGAATTCTGAATATACATAGTTCACACCTACTGTTAGCTTGCTTTTGTTTTGAGCTATCAATCACACCAAATTGACTCAGATGATCCCATTTCGTTTAGCTAGTCATTAGTAGTTACACTCTGGTGATCCTTGACATATAGTGTACACCATCACCTCTTGTGGCTCTGTCTTTTCTAAATGGTGGGCGATAAGCTGGTGGATAAAATACACCCTGCGACACATCATGTTAGCCCTGGGACTCGCTAATTCCTATGATTTCTGGATGTTCTGTGAATGGATATGCGTTCAAGTGCATCAGTTTTATTAACTAAACTTCTGGCATTTGTGTATTAACATTTGATATCCCCAGTTTCTAGAGGATTTATTCTAGAGCATTTATTCTCTCTGGGTTAGTAGTATTACTTAAAGCTACAGCATGCACTATGTTAACAACATTATTTACAGTCGGTTTGCCACTTGCCCCTATTAGTGGGAGAGCTGGTACACTACTTTGATGTCCCCCTCTTCCTGTACCTGCTTAAACCTGTTCCACAAGTTTTATTGTATGTCATATATGGTACATCTGTGTGACCTGGAGGCTGGCTGGAGCTGGTTTGGATTGAATGCCAACACAACTCATGTAGCACTGTTTAGTCAAAAGCGTATTAGGTTTTATAAGAAAGTCGTTCGGATATCTAGACAGTCCGTCCCCCGTAAAGATCTTCAAGAGTGAGGTGCTTCCCTGTCTGGAGTACTGTCACCCCGTCTGGTCTCCGAGATATGCTAGGGACTGTCAGTTGATTGAAAATGTCCAAAGGAGGGCCACCAGACCGGTGCCAGCACTTCGGCACCTCAACTACCCTGAGCACCTGAAATTGCCTAGCTTATGCTACAGAGGGGCAAGGGGGGACCTAATTGAGGTGTTCAAATATCTCAAAGGGCACTAATCAGTTGAGTGACCTTACCTAGAGCTGGAGGAAACTCGCTCCACAAGGGATCACAGCTCAAGGTTGAAGAAGCAGCAAGCCCAGAAAACTGTGAGGGGTAACTTTTTCGGAGTGAGGGTTGTGAACTCTTGGAACAATCTGCCAGAGTGTTGAGACGGCACCGAGTGCGAGCTCTTTCAAGACCAGACTTGACCAACACTGGAGCAGGTTGAGATACATTCAGGAGCCAGTGCATGCCCAGTACTTGCCAACAGTGCATAACAGAGACATGACCAATCGCCCAAGTGGCTATCGAGCCGATCAGTGGTGAAGAGGATAAAAGTAAGTAAAAAGTAAAGATAACGTGACCTAATCTAACTTAAAGTGATGTCACTTAGCCTAACTTAGCCTAATTTACCCTATTCTACCGTAACCTAACCTGATCTTACATAACCTAACCTCACCAAACCACACCTGACCTTACCTGATGCTCGCCCCGGTAGGCAGCCAGCAGCAGGGGCGTCCTGCCGTGATCATCGGCGGCGTTGACGTTGGCGCCACATTCCAACAGTAGTTCACAGATTTTCTGGGTCCCCTACAACACATAACACTTGTAATAGATGTGCACCACTTGTACAGTAAGTACACTTAACACTTATATTTATTCACTGCACACGTGGGCAACACATGTGTATTACACACTTGTACAGTGCATACAGTAATTTTAAAATACACAGTACATATTTCTACAGTACATACACCATACAGCTGTACAACATAGGTATACCACGCCATACATATGTGCAACACCTATACACTATACAGCTGTACACTCGGTAAAAAAGAGTATCTTTACAATTCTTGTGAGAAACAAACTGACACCACGAGTGAAGGTTTTTATAAAGGCTCATGATGCATATTGTTATTCACCCAACCATAATGCAACGAACAAATAATGAAATAACTAAATTAGGCCTACCATAATAGGTAGTAAATGTCTCACAATCACCACTACCAACCCAAACGAGACAGCAGGATAGTTCAATTCCAAATTTATCAGATCCCTCCTGAAAGATACTTTTTTGTTAACGAGTGTACAATACTAGTACAGAACATCAATGTAAGGCAATAATTCCAAACACTACTCAATAATTACTCCCCTAAGATATTAAGTTACTCTCAGATGTTATTTTAAGACAAAGTTACTCAGTGTTGAAAAGTTACTTTAAAATATTCAGGTAATTTACATCAAGTTATTCTAAGATCAAGTTACTCCTCTAAAATATCATGTCACTTAAAGATATTAAGTTCCTCCCCTAAGACATCCTCCTAAGTAAGGTTGAGCCAGAAGTCTCACCTTGTAGACAGCATGGTGCAGCAGCGTCCAACCTCGAGAGTCCCTGCTGTTAGGGTCGCCCCCCCACGCTAGACCAGACATCACTTGACTGTGTTCCTCTGTCCTTACTGCCCGTATTAGTGCCTGTGTTATAGTATCATATAGTACAGTATTGTGATATACTGGTAAAGTTGGTTTTGTTTTATAGTACAGTGCCTCCCCCCAAGTATGCGGGTAATTGGTGCCAACGGAGCGGCGTGTACTTGGGAACCGTGTACTTGGGTACTATAAACTAATGGGAAAAATAATTAGCTTCGGGACCCCTCCAGATACGCACCATGAACCCAAAACTGGTTTTTCAATGCACTTTTTTTGCACATAGCCTCTTTGAAAGTTACCCTTAGTTAAATATGTGTGCCTTAGTTATATAAGGTGTATAATAAAACAGAAATAAACCTTTAAATAAGAAGAATAAACACTTTCTTGCCATTGTTCAGCCAGTCTTTTATCTCCTTGCGTGTCAGGGTCATCGACTTCACTCTTCTGCCTGGCGTCCCAACAGCAGTGGGGTAGCCATGGTAGCTGTAGCAGCCCAAAACACCTAAAAAATACAGGAAAGTAAGTCTTGAGGAGCGGAGGAATGGGACTGGTGTCTGCGTCGTTGGTGACGTCACGGCCAGAAAGTTGGTAGTGGCCACTTAACCAATCAACAGCTAGCTCCTCTGCTCACTTCCTCTCTCCCTCCCTCACTTGGCAGTGCCTCACGGAAATTTACGCCTGCGTACTTGGGACCCCTGCGTACTGCAGCTACTTTACAGTAACCTAACGAATAGTAAACGTAACGCCGGCGGGCAATTAAGAAGGTATAAGGATAGTCTCAAGACAAACCTGAAAAGGTGCCAAAACGACCCCCTCACCTGGGAGACGATTACTCCACATCGTAACGCTTGGAGAAGCACCACATGGGAAGGTGTCACTACTTCCGAGTTAGCCCGACTTCAAACCGAGGCAGACAAGCGCCAACGTCGGAAAGACGCTGCCACCGCCCCTCCCGCAGTAGATGGAGCCCTCCACATGTGCGACGAATGTGGACGACGCTGCGGGTCCCGTATCGGCCTCTTTAGTCACCTCAAAACTCACTAACATAGGTGACATCCTTAATAACTCTTATCATTGTATCATAGCTGGATGATCGTCATACTCGATTCCGAGTGACAGCAAGGTAATAGTAGTAGTAGTAGTACTGTACTTTGGAATTTGGGTTGCATGGCTTTGATGCGTTTAGTTGGGTTTCGTGCGGTTAAAATCTGCATACTTGGGGGAGCTCTGTGGTATTAAAATATAGTGGTATAGTCATATAGAGAATTAGTGATATAGTACTGTATAGACATTCAATATTACAGTGGTACAGAATACAGTGGTAGGTGAGTGGTACAGGATACAGTAGTAGATGATTGGTACAAAATACAGTGGTAGATGGTACATTGTTACATGATAGTGTTACAATGTTACAGTGGTACAGTCAGAAGCAGTAATAGCTACCCCCATAGTAGTAGGAGCCATGGCAAGTGGAGGCCTGGCGATCGGACAAACTCTTTCCTCTCCCCCCTCGTGGCTCCGGCTACAGAGGGGGGGGGGGGGATTATTGCTTCACACTGTACAGTGGTAGATAATACTGTATAGTGCTACAGTTTTACAGAGGTACATTGTTTCCTCACCAGATCAGAGTAGAGGAGACCATCCTTGTTTTTGATGTTCTCCGTTGCTCCCTTCTCCAGTAGCTGCTCCACAGTCGACAATTGTCCCCACCTGGCAGCAATGTGCAGGGGTGTGTTGCCCTCGTCGTCACCCACGTCGACCTTTGCCCCACGTCCCGTTAGTACTGTGATTACATCTTCTGACCCCTCCCGTGCAGCATCGTGCAAGGGCGTGCAGCCGTGCTTATCCTGGTGTTGATGGTAAGTGGATATCATGGTAGTGAAAGGTGCTATTATTGTCTTTGTTTCCCTCTTAAGAAGGCAGTTCGTGGTAGTTACTGGCATTAATATGATAGTTCTTTGTTTTTTAAGCTATGTCAATATTTGTGTTGGTATTTATGAAATAAAAAATGTTTTACCTCTGTAGGGCAGGGTTTTTTTCTCAGCTGAATAAAATCGTCTGGTGTTAGCCAGAATAAGATACCTAAGTGCACCACTGTCTAAAGATAAGTTATAACCTGTAATTCTGCATATTACAGTATGTCAATATAAATGGGGCAAGATAGACAATTACCGGTACATCAGTAGTAAAACACAACCTGTCAGGTTCCACACCTGTAGGTCAGGAGACACAGGTAGAATCACTGACTCACCTGAATGTTAACAGTGGCGCCCTTGTCCAGCAGTGACTTGAGCACGAAGAGGTTCCCCCAGTAGGCAGCATGGTGGAGAGGAGTCTTGCCACCAGCGTCCCCGAGGTTTGGGTTAGCGCCACTCTCTAACAGGGCATCAGCGATCAACACGTCCCCCTGTGAGAGAACGTTATCATTAGCCCAGGAACTTTGAACGTGTGTGTGTGTGTGTGTGAGGGTGCATGTGTGTGTGTGTTTGTGCAGATCATCAATCATCATCATTATTAGCAGCCTATATCACCACTCTAATGGGTGATGGCCTCCCTCCCTCAAATGGTGCCATATAATTCTGTCTTAATTTCATCTGTTCGTCTTACCGTCTCCCATTTTGTCTCCAGGAGCCAAGTGAAGTATGTGCCCTGATGACATGAGCTCCTAAAGTGGGGTAGTCACTGGTCTGGGGACATCTTGGGCACTTTTTTTAGCTAGGAAGTGGAAGTTTGGATCATTAGTGACCAAGGGCTCTGTCAAAAATATTTTTCTTAGTTTTTAACTTACATTATACACCACCCCCTTCCCTCCCCAGGTACCCCATGAAGTGTGGGGCAGTGTACATTGAACAAAGGAGCGCATCGACACACTGAACCTGACTGTTAACATTGTTTTACAAAGTTTTACATATATTAAAACTTTGTGTTTTATATGTTTAGGTGGAACTTATACACCGTCTATTATTACAGTGAGAAAAAAATGTTTTGAAGTAGACGTTTTAACAGCATAACAGAAATACAACGAACGACAACATTATTCTCTAGTGCGAAACAGGTAAACATCTCTGTTCATCTCCAATGTTATTCTATTTGCCACCCTTCTACACTTACTGCTTCCCAGTTTTAATTTTGACATCATTAAGATTTTATATTGATATTGATATTAATATTTGGCCAGAAAAATACAGATACAGAGAGGATAATAATAATAAGATTGACATGACTGAGCCAATTGAGAGCATGAGCTCGCTTAGTGGCATCTGATAATTATACTGTATACAGTACATTTATCTCAAGGAATTGTTATATGTATAACATTTAGTATCACATGTTACATGGTGTTGGTAAATACTGTACATATGAGAATGTTATCACGATTATCACCCCATTTATTTGTTTATTTATTTTAATTATTTTGTATGTCTTTATTGCATTTATATTCTAAGTAAAGTATACACATATTTTACAGTATAGTACAGTCGAGTCTCGTTATGTGTGTGATAAACTCCCAGGGGCAGATCCAGGAGGGCTCCTGGCGGTCAGGACCCCCCCTTTCATCAACTAATTCCAATACGTTTTCTTTAATGTAGTATTGTACTCTGGCATTTTTGTATAGTAAAAAGTAACTACTACTGACCTCAGAATATCTCCTAATATCAAGTGTACATGGCTTCATAATGGCCTCAAAATGCCTATGATGTTGGTCAGACTTCAGAAAGTTCCTTAGCTGGATGCACTCTCTGTGCTCGACATGTTCCCCCACCCTTTTTGATATTCCTGGATCCGCACCCGACTCTCCTCGGAAGGTTATAAGTATGGTGACCAATAATGGTGAGAAGCATTTCAAAAGATGTGGCGAGGAGAAGCCTGAGTCTTGTCCCAAATTATCATACTGCATTGGGAGGACAGGTAGAAGCACTAATTGTGATATTATGTACAGGTAGAAGCACTAATTGTGATATTATGTATGACTAGCGAGTTTCCAAGTCATACTTACCTCCACACTTCAGAGATTAGTCCTAAAATGTCTCACATTAAAATACTGTACAATATATTCCACACTTTGAAAACACTGAAGCATTTGTGTGTGTGTGTGTGTGTTTGAATAACCAATAAAAGTATCTTTACGGAGGTCCAATAATTTTCAAAATGAACACCATGATTCCTGTTGTCTTGGTAAGGTTATCGAAATCCTCCGTCCATTGTGTCATATTGTCGAACACAAAATTGTAAAAATACTTATTTCATTGTGTGTACAGGAATTGGTAAGGTGTGTGTGTGTGTGTGTGTGTGTGTGTGTGTGTGTGTGTGTGTGTTGGGGGGGATATAAGTATTGCCAAATGAGGATCAACCCTTATATTAGAGTTGCCAGCTAATTATCAAATCTTATATCACTGTTGACAGATGTTGATCAAACCTTTTATCATTTGTCAGATAAACATCAAACCTTATATTGGTGTTGCCAGATGAGGATCAAACCTCACATTAGTGTTGCCATACAAGGCTCAGACCTTACCCTGGCAACTGACCTTGAAGGCAGAGTGGCACAACACAGGGAAGCCGTAGGAGTCGCGGGTGTTGGGGTCAGCTTGGCCTTTCAGGAGGCTCACCACTTGGCCCACGTTGGCTGCATGTACGGCTGTCACCAAGAACTCGTTCACCTGTGTTCGATAACCACATCAGGTGGGAAAATATACTTTCGTGAGTCGACCAAGATCACCTGAAGATTAACCACCTTAGCCTATCCTCACCTAACCTTACCATTCACTAGCTTAACCCAACCATCCTAAACTCACTTACCATAATCTAACCTTACTTAACCAAACCTAACTCAGACTAACCCGGGTAGCATTAGGGAAGTTACTCTTGAGGTAAAACTAGCGGGGGTGACGAATGTTCAGTTGATCTCTTGACCTTCCTTCACTTTGTACAAAACTTAAGACGGAGATCGCAGCTGTGATTGTATTGTTAATTTAATTGTAAAGCAAAATATTTATGAACACTTTGATAATAATAGTACTGTAATAATAATAATAATAATAATAATAATAATAATAATAATAATAATAATAATACTGTAATAATAATAATAGCAATAATAATAATAGCAATAATAATAATAGCAATAATAATAATAATAATAATAATAATAATAATAATAATAATAATAATAATAATAATAATAATAATAATAATGATAATAATAATAATAGTAATAAAAAAATAATAATAATAATATTCAATGACAAGGTAAGAGTGGAGGACTGACCAGGTGTGTGAAGATCTGGCCTTCCTTGTTAGGCAGGGAAGTATCACATCCTCGCTCCAGTAATAAGTTGATAATGCCGGGGTGACTGCCTTCTATAGCCGAGTGTAGCGGTGTGTTGCCTCGCTGGTCCTGAGGATAAACCAACCTATTTACTATCGGTGTACTTGTGTCAGGGTGTAGTGGGGTGTGGGGGGTGTGTGTAGTGGGATGTGTAAGGGTGTAGTGAGGTCCCAGGGTGTAGTGGTAGGTGTAGTGAGGTGTCAAAGTGTAGTGAAAGGTGTGAGGGTATCGTGAAGAGTGTGAGGGTGTAGAGGGGTGTTTATGTAATAGTCTTTTAATAATCTTCTTATACACTTACAGCCTTTAGTTGTTGAAGTGAAGTGCAGTAATAACATAACAACAACTGATTTTCTTTAAAAAGTTCAGATAAGCAGTATTATCTCCTTCCCCACCATATATTCACCTTTTGGGGGCAGACCAAGGTCCGAAAAATGCGAGTCCGAAAAATGCGAATATATGGCGGAGGGGGGGTGGGGGGGGATAATACTGCTTATCTGAACTTTTTAAAGAAAATCAGTTGTTGTTATGTTATTACTGCACTTCACTTCAACAACTAAAGGCTGTAAGTGTATAAGAAGGTTATTAAAAGATTATTACATCAACAACAAAAAATATGAATCAGACATAAGTCTGGTTGTCAACAACTGTTTTCACCGAGATGATTGTTACACACTTTAAAGTGTTATATGTAAGTAACCACAGAATTTGTCTTATGAATAAAGAGAAAACTGTATACTGTACAGTACAGTACTATAAAGATAAGAAAAAGAACACATAAGTGAAGGTGTATATTGTATGTGGAAGACGAGTTTATATCTGGGAGCAGCAGGGAGAAGGGAGGGGGAGGTAGCATTAGCTTCATTTGGTGCCAGGTTGATAAAATGTTATCCTAAAAGAATCAGGTTTCTTGAAAAAAGAATCCTACACTCAACACCACCAGTCATTTGTTTACAAAGGGTTAACAGCTGATAGGTTTACCACAACGTCTGTCTCCAACACTTAGTAAATTAGTACAGTACAGTAGAGTATTTATCATCACTTATTAACTATTAGTGTGATGTATTTATCACCACTTAATAAATACTATTGTAGTGTATTTATCTTCACTTATTAAGTTATATTGTAGTGTACAGTATTATGCATCTGCATACTCTTATACCCTGGTTTATTCATTAATCAGTTGTCCTAAGTGTACAAGTAGCCAATTTGAGTCATTATATAACACTCAAGAACACAATAAAATTAGGAGAACTGTTATTTGGACTCTATACAGAAAGAAATGGCGAAGAAAATATATAGAAAATTATGGAAAGAAAGACAAAAAAGGAAAAAAAGTCAATCAGTCGACAATAAATAAGAGTAACAAAAAATCGGGCCCGTTGTTAAGGCGATTTCTGCCGGACTCTCTGAAACCACACATAACAACCAGGGCAGCTGCTCCACTACGTATATTGTCTCTCTCTTCTCTTGCTGTTAGGTGTTCGCATATTTATAAGTATACACGCAATGCGACGAATATCAGGTTCATTATGTTTTAATTTTTGCACTTACAGAACTGTAATCAACTTCTTCACCCTTATTTAAAGTATCTTATGAGTAATGATATTAAGGTTTCAATCATATATGAGTAATTATCGATATTTTTATACCAAAGTCACCAGAGGGTAATGAAATGGGACAGCGCCCACTTATAAATGGGCAGAGCCTAAAGAAGTTTCAACTAGGTGCAGTCCTTTTCAATTCTTTCACCCCATATGCTTTGTTTTAGGTCCTATCCAATATTTTTTTTTAAAGGTGGCCTCCAGCCTCCCCCAATAGCCACACCTTCGTCGCCATTTTATTACCTTAATATTAAATATCCTAATACATAAGTAGCTATCCTAGCTGTGTTGAATTAGTTGAGCCGCAGATCTATGCGGCATTCAGTGACTGTAGCCTCAGTCAATATCTGCAACTGTTGTCGGCTTTGGGGCCGAAGCTCTCGTTCCCCTTAGGCAGAGCAAAGCAGACCGAAGGAGAGAGAAGGACAGTCGACATCTCATCCAGGCTGTAACATAATTTCTGGGCTGTTTGCTTCTGTTCGGATATCACCTCCGCGAGTCTGGCGTAGAAGCATCTTGCACTTGGTCCCATCCCACCAGAGGTTGTGAACACTAGAGGAGTGAAGCTGCCTTGATCAACGTTCTGAATTCTCTCCCCGTATGCCCTTATCTTGTCGTTCTCGTTCCTCCTGTGTGCAGCATCGAAAGCTAAGTTCCGGTGACATGCGGCCATGAGATAAAAAATCCTGATGTCGAAGAAGGCTAGCTGTCCCTGGGTCCAGAATCCTCGAGCAATGACGTCCACATGGGCTTCGTTGGATGCGTTTGAAGTCTTATGTTGGAAAATCTCACCTTCCAATGGAAGGAGGGTTGGTTCTATCCTGACATCACGGCAGATTTCCTTCAACATATTTGCTGTGAGATCCCTTACTTCGTCATGCCTCATGCATATGAAGCCCCTTTCTTGCACACCATGGCGTGATCGGCATCATAGGAAGAGCCACACACGCATTGGGAGGGCAAACCTTCCACTGTCCTTACCGTATCTGTAAATTCTTGTTTATTGAGACTGAAACCATTTGCCCTTATCGGTAACGTAGTTAACCAGTTCGAGGCGCCCACCTCCTCCTGCACTATAGCTACTTTTTTTCTTCAAATTCTCTGGTACTTGCAACAACAGTTGCTACACCTTATCACTTTGGCTGTGCTGTCGTTCTGTCGTAATGGACCTTCGAATCTTGTTTACTTCACTGGTATCCACCTCCCCTGTTGCGTTCTGAGCTATTATGTGGTCCGTGAGGGCTGCCGTGAGCTTAACTGAGTTTTGATGTTCGGTGGCAGCATTCTCCTCTGGATTGGTCAATCCCATACCTCCCAGTCTCAGTGGTAGTGCAAGGAGTGATCTTTCTGCTGGGGTTAAGTGAGGGTGTTTCACTAATTTGGGAATGAAATTGACGCTGATAGCTCCTTCCAGAGGGTGGAGGAGGGGTCCAATATCAGGGATAGTGCGCATCAGGTAGTTCCAGCGATGCTTGACTCCATGGGTGAATGCCGCAAAAGCCGCATGTGGCTTTGTGTTAGCAATCTCAGACAGAGTTTGGATTTCCCGTTACGTACTCGGTCTTGAAGTCCGTCGTGCAGATTACTGCGTCTAGGTGTCTTTGGCTTTCCTTTGTTATTTTGACCTCACTTCCGCCATTGCCCGTTCATAATGTTCTGGCTTCACAATGAGGAAGGACTTGCTGGCGTTTGGGTGGTACCCTATTTGTGGGCCTCGCGATGTTACCAGGTCCCACCACTTTTTGATGTCCTCCACTTTTCCTGCTCCTGTAAGGTCATCAGCGTACGTCACTTGTTTGACTTCAGTTGTTCCAAATTTTATTGTGTGTTGGAGCACGAATAGGCGTATTGCGTACATTGCCATTGCAACAGGGTCCCCCTGCGTTGTTCCCTCGGTTGACTGTATGATGGTATCACTTCTTAGAGCCTTGTTGTTTACTATATAGAGGTCTGATGGATTCCTATAGGAGTTTTCAACATACATTGCAAAGCTTGGACACTTGATCTTGATGTTGTGCAGTGCGGCATTGCGGTTAAGTATGCTGAATGTGTTTGAAGCGTCCACCAGGAGAACGGCCTCACAATCACGCTGCTCAAATATCATTCGCATGGCGTGAATGGCAGCTTCCCTTCCAGCCTGGTGGCCAGCACAAACTTGCAGGTTCCCTGCTGCTGCCCTGACATCATCCTTTACCACCTCCATTATGCATTTTCCGATGATCCGCCTCAGCACTTCCCCCAACCCTATAGGACTTCATCCTGGATTCTTATCCAGGGGAATGAGGCGGCAGGCCGTCAGAGCATGGAGGTGATGGCAGCACGAGGATGCCAGCTTTCTTGCAAGGATGGCAATGGCAGTGCAGAGATCACTTGCTCCGGGGCCAAACTTGTTAGTGCTAAGGATGACTCTCCAACCGTTTGCATCCAGACCTGAGGGGCCGGCTCCTCCTCGTGTCTTCAGTGCCTTTTTCCACACCATCCCTCCTGTTATTTTCTCGAACAGGACAGCATTTGGTGGGATATAGTCACCCTGGAACCTGATGCCTTCATCTTCACTTGTAGGGGGATGTTTTTCTTTCAGTTGTTTTAATGTCTCTCTGTTTATTGGCAGAACCCCACGGGGGGATTCCTCTGTGAGAGATCTTACCTCCGAAGACACCTTTCCCACACGCATTTTGTTTCCAAACTTTCTTGCAACGTCATCGGTGTTTTGCTTTCCGTCACCTGTAAATTTTAGTCTCTCCTGCAGTGTTCTTGCTTCACATAGGAGATCCTGAAGGGCCCCATTCTGCCTCATTGTCAATCTTCTCTTCATTGCTGCCGCATTTTCTTTGTGTGTGTCCTCTGACAGAATAGATGTGGTATTATTGCCATCCAATATACTACCATATATAGAATTATTTTTATTATTATATCACAGTTTTCATTACCCTACATGCCCCAACTCTTCAATATTAATCAAAATATTCTCCAAAAGCGGCCATGATCCGCGTATTTACCCACTGAAGAAACTCGCTGATTGGTTGTTAGCTATTCGGGCGCCACACACGCTAACGCCTCATCAAGGTGTTTGCTTTTCCCTCTCAAGGAGTCATGCGCAGAACTCAGCAGAAGAGTATGCGCCGACAGAATAGCTAACACATTAGCTTTTCCGTGCATCTACAATAAACGCCTATACTCAGTGTCTTAGTTCTCAGTAGGCCTATAGCAAATCTGGTTATACCACTGTACAGTATTGAGTAAAAGTTGTTCTTTTCATAAGAATTTTTTTTAATGTTCCCCATTTCTTAAATGTGCACTTATTTTTTATTTATATTTTTTTTTATTTCTAGTGACCAGAGCACCTAAGAGTCCGAAAAATATTGAATTAAGATATATTGAAGTCCGATTTATCGAGGTCTTACTTAAACTGTATATATATATATATATATATATATATATATATATATATATATATATATATATATATATATATATATATATATATATATATATATATATATATATATATATATATATATATATATATAATCAGGTGTTGTAACACTAAGTAAGGACATGACTTAATATCACCAACTGTAAATACTATATATGTAAGAAACTATAGATAGATAATTGGAAAAAAAGGGTAGAGAGAGAGAGAGAGAGAGACAGACAGAGAGAGAGAGAATTAGCTCACCTGCGCATTGACGTTGGCCCCCGAGTTCACCAGAAGGTCAGCTACTCGCAGATGGCCGTGGAAGGAGGCGGTGTGGAGAGGCGACGTTCTGTTGCTGTCCTCTATGTTGACGTTGGCGCCCCTGTTGAAGACTTGATCTCTCAACTAGTGCTACCTGGAGTTTGAACTTGTAAGGTACCTCAGGGTCGCCTAGTGCTACCTGGAGTCTCATTTTGTAAGGTACTTGAGGTCACCTAGTCCTACCTGGAGTCTCATCTTGTAAGGTACCTGAGGGTCACCTAGTGCTACCTGGAGTCTCATTTTGTAAGGTACTTGAGGGTCACCTAGTCCTACCTGGAGTCTCATCTTGTAAGGTACCTCAGGGTCACCTAGTGCTACCTGGAGTCTCATCTTGTAAGGTACCTGAGGGTCACCTAGTGCTACCTGGAGTCTCATTTTGTAAGGTACTTGAGGGTCACCTAGTCTACCTGGAGTCTCATCTTGTAAGGTACAGTTTCACCCAAAAGTTCGTTAACTCTCCCAGCCAGCTATTGCTGCACTGTTTGCTTCAGATGTATGAACTTGAGTCTGTTACTTCGAACCTTTAGATTCATTAGTATCGGTTTCATGTTCTGGTTGGTACTGAGACAGTTTCAAACATCTGAAGCAGGCAGTGCAGCAATAGCTGGCTGGGAGAGTTAACGAACTTTTGGGTGAGACTGTACCTGACCCCCACCTAGTGTAATAACTTATGTTTTGTATGGTGCACAAGACACCACTCATTTGTACCCAGAATTCCATGTTGTGTTTAAACTTAGTCAGGATGGCACCAAAACCACCTGTGGAGATGGCTGTTCCTCTACAATAAACGAGATACTGTTTTGGTGGCTGATTTCCCCACACATATTGAGGTCCGAGACACAACACCTAGTGCTACCTGGAGTCTCATCTTGTAAGGTACCAGACCCTCACCTAGTGCTACCTGGAATCTCAACTTGTAAGGTACTTGAGGGCTACCTTGTGCTACCTGGAGTCTGACTTGTAGATCAAACACTACAAGAATACATTATTAAACCCATATTGAAACTTAACTAAAATATATCCCTTGGGGTGATCCCAAAACACGAAAGCTACAAAAAACAATTAAACATGGTCCAATATAATTTTTCGTCTTTCAGTAATATGTATTTTGATCAAGTATAGACAGAACACTAGACAAACAGACTTCCTCACTGACAGATACAGAGTGGGATTTGTGTCGTTAATGTGAAGATTAATAAATGATAATGTAGAGGAATGATTTATATTTGTTTTGTGAGAGTGAGCGTGTGTTGTTGACTGGTAGAGAGAGGGGGAGTAGTCAGATAAAGGTTAACAGAGATAAAGGTAGATAAAGAAAGTTAGACAGGGAAAGGTATGTAGACAGAGGGAGTTAGAGGAAGTGAGGGTCTTGCCTTTCCAGCAGTAGTGAGACAATGTTGAGCTGGCCCCTGGCACTGGCGTGGTGTAGGATGGACCAGTGGAGGTTTCCCTTTGTGTCCGGGTTGAGGCCCCAGTCCAGCCACTGTACCAGCACCTCCGTGTCCCCACACTCCACCGCCGGCATCAGCTGCTGCCCCACCTGCAACACACGCCACCACCACACGCGTCATAGTTAGCATAATACAGTACATGTATTACAGTTAGTATATTTTGGCTGTATGTTAAAACCTAATTTGGGTCCCTATATTAGGGGTGCAGGATGATAGCCCCATATTTCATAATTTTATAAAAGAAAGTCCTGTACCAGAAATAAAACATGGAAGAGTGTATTGGATAAATATGATAAATAAATAAATAAATATGTTAGAAAAAAAAAGAATACAATACAATTAAATATATATTTTCTAAAAGGACCGCATGTACTATACCTCAGAGGAGTTAAAGTACAGTACAGCATCTCTGCAGATGAATCTCAATGATGTTCTTTGTTGTTTTAACCAAATAACATATTCGTATGCACTGTATGTGTATATAATTAGACAGTTAACGGCAAGAAACTATATTAAAGGCTTCTGTACAAGGTTTCATTATAACGCTGTGATCTCGGCCAAAGAACTACTGTCTTTCGTTGTTTTATGTAAAACTTTTATGATCCTTTGATCAAATAGTTTCATTTATAAGATACAGATAATTGTAATTTGGAAGGACTATAACTGACAGTACTGTTCTTGCTGTCACTAGCAGAGCGAGTGAAGTGTCCTCCAGCAGGATAATCCTAATCCCTAGTTCATGTAGGTCTGTATTATGAAGAGTAACAATGTTTATCAACCACAGTTTATGATTTACATCACAATCATCAAGTATTGATGCAGTGTCTTTTATGCTTTTTAAAATGACTTTTCAGAATATAGCTTGCATTGCTGGAATTCTTGCAAGAGAGTGATTAATTTAAGTATAAACATCTCATAGTTTGCACTGAGATAAAAATGTTAGTCCTTTAGCTGAGTACATTTAGTACAAAATGTACACTAAGGTAGAGTAATATGTTGCTCAAAATTGTGGCTTCTTCACAGGGAAATATCATAGGAAGATAAGTTGAAAATTTCCTTCATGTTGCAGCATTAATCTAAGTTTAAAGTTAAACTAAACGGCCACAACCACAACCTTGCAGGTGTGACTTCCTGACAACCACAACCTCAACTGCGGAGCTTTGAAATCTGACAAACGTGACATCACTAATCTCACCTTAATTAACCTGACAATCTTATGTTAGAGTTCATTAACCTAATATAGACTTGGTATAGTTCCGGTCTCCAGAATAATAGATACTTTATGGTCCTACTCGTGGTACTGTCTCAACATTAGTCATAAAAGACCTCAAAAGCTGGAGTGGAAACTCGAAACTGACAAGATTTTTACTTCTGCCTCTCCAGACCCAACACCTGATTGACTTTTCTGGGAATATTCTTGTGAGTTGAGACTATTGAAACATTATTAAGAAGTGTTGTTGCTGTAGAGGCGATGAGGAGGGAGTGTGTGTAGGATGGTAGACCTGGACTGTGTGTAGGATGGTAGAAACTGGAGTGTGTGTAGGATGGTAAACCTAGAGTGTGTGTAGGATGGTAAACCTAGAGTGTGTGTAGGATGGTAAACCTAGAGTGTGTGTAGGATGGTAGACCTGGAGTGTGTGTAGGATGGTAAACCTAGAGTGTGTGTAGGATGGTAGAAACTGGAGTGTGTGTAGGATGGTAAACCTAGAGTGTGTGTAGGATGGTAGAAACTGGAGTGTGTGTAGGATGGTAAACCTAGAGTGTGTGTAGAGGATGGTGAACTGGAGGTGTGGCAAGAAAGGTAAACCCTAAGAGTGTGTGTGGGATGGTAGACCTGGGTGTGTGTGGGACGGTAGACCTGGAGTGTGTGTGGGATGGTGAGCCTGGGTGTGTGTGTAGGGATGGTAAACCTGGAGTGTGTGTGTGTGGGATGGTGAAGCCTAGAGTGTGTGTGTGGGATGTGGTAAGCCTGGGTGTGTGTGGGATGGTAAACCTGGGTGTGTGGGGATGGTAGAAACTGGAGTGTGTGGGATGGTAAACCTGGGTGTGTGTGGGATGGTAGACCTGGAGTGTGTGTGGGATGGTAAACCTGGGTGTGTGTGGGACAGTAGACCTGGAGTGTGTGTGGGGATTGTGAGAAACTGGGTGTGTGTGGGATGGTAAACCTGGGTGTGTGTGGGATGGTAAACCTGGGTATGTGTGGGATGGTGAAGCCTGGAGTGTGTGTGGGATTGGCAAAACTGGAGTGTGTGTGGGATGAAGCCTGGGTGTGTGTGGGATGGTAAACCTGGGTGTGTGGGATGGTAAGCCTGGAGTGTGTGGGATGGTAACCTAAGGTGTGTGGGATTGTAGAAACTGGGTGTGTGTGGGATGGTAAACCTAGAGTGTGTGTGGGATGGTGAAGCCTGGAGTGTGTGTGGGATGGTGAGCCTGGAGTGTGTGTGGGATGGTAAACCTAGAGTGTGTGTGGGATTGAAACTGGAGTGTGTGTGGGATGGTAAACCTAGAGTGTGTGTAGGATGGTAAACCTGGAGTGTGTGTAGGATGGTAAACCTGGAGTGTGTGTAGGATGGTAAACCTGGAGTGTGTGTAGGATGGTAGACCCGGAGGGTGTGTAAGAAGGTAAACCTAGAGTGTGTGTAGGACGGTAAACCTGGAGTGTGTGTAGGATGGTAAACCTAGAGTGTGTGTAGGATGGTAAACCTAGAGTGTGTGTAGGATGGTAAACCTGGAGTGTGTGTAGGATGGTAAACCTGGAGTGTGTGTAGGATGGTAAACCTGGAGTGTGTGTAGGATGGTAGACCCGGAGGGTGTGTAAGAAGGTAAACCTAGAGTGTGTGTAGGACGGTAAACCTGGAGTGTGTGTAGGATGGTAAACCTAGAGTGTGTGTAGGATGGTAAACCTAGAGTGTGTGTAGGATGGTAAACCTGGAGTGTGTGTAGGATGGTAAACCTGGAGTGTGTGTGGGATGGTAAACCTGGGTATTGTGGCAGGATGGTAGAAGCCTGGAGTGTGTGTAGGATGGTAAGCCTGGGTGGTGTGTGGGACGGTAGACCTGGGTGTGTGTGGGATGGTAGACCTGGAGTGTGTGTAGAATGGTAAACCTAGAGTGTGTGTGGGATGGTAAGAAGCCTAGGTGTGTGTAGGATGGTAAACCTGGGTGTGTGTGGGATGGTAAACCGAGGTGTGTGTGGGATTGTAGAAACTGGTGTGTGTGGGATGTGGGTAGACCTGGGTGTGTGTGGGAATGGTGAAGCCTGGGTGTGTGTGGGATGAAGTAAAGCCTAGAGAGTGTGTGTGAAGGATGGTAAGCCGAGAATTAATGTGTGGGATGTGTGAACCTGGGTGTGTGTGTATGATGGTGAAGCCTGGAGTGTGTGTGGGATGGTGAAGCCTAGGTGTGTGAAAGGATGGTAAACCGAGGTGTGTGTGTAGGATGGTAGACCTGGAGTGTGTGGGATGGTAAACCTGGAGTGTGTGGGATGGTAAGCCTAGGTGTGTGTGGGATTGTAGAAACTGGGTGTGTACCTGGAGTGTGTGTAGGATGGTGTGTGTAAAACCTAGAGTGTGTGTAATGGATGGTAAACCTGAGTGTGTGTAGGATGGTAAACCTGAGTGTGTGTAGGATGGTAGACCTGGAGTGTGTGTAGGATGGTAAACCTGGAGTGTGTGTAGGATGGTAAACCTAGAGTGTGTGAAGGATGGTAAACCGAGAGTGTGTGTAGGATGGTAGACCTGGAGTGTGTGTAGGATGGTAAACCTGGAGTGTGTGTAGGATGGTAAACCTGGAGTGTGTGTAGGATGGTAGGAGTGTGTGTAGGATGGTAGACTCACCAGTTGGAGGAACACCTGGTTCTTTCTGTTCGTCTTGGTTGTGTCAGCCTTCTTGTTGATGAGCATCTTGGCCACAGTTGTATGGAAGCCTCGCGCTGCCTCGTGTAAGGGCGTGTTGCCTGACTTGTCCTGCCCGAGAACAGCGTAACATTAATAAAAGTTAAACTGTCCTAAGTTATTTTAAGTTACGTAAGACTAAATTAAGTTGCATTGTGTTTAAGTTAGGTTAAATTTTGTTAGATTAAATTAGGTTAGTTAAGTTAAATTATGTTACTAAGTTTTATGGAGATGAGTTAAAATTATTATTATTAATATCGAAAAAATATCTGTAGTTTACCCTATTGTCTATCACAGTGACCACCAATATAATCCCGTTCTTGTATAATTTTTACTGTTTTATATCATATTTATCTGTAGGAATCCTCACTCACTCACTCACTCACTCACTGAGAGAACATTTTCATCAGCTCTTTCATCAGCACTGAGGTACTTTCTTCTTGAGCATTGATATAGACATTCTTCTTGAGCAGTAACATACCTGAGCATTAACATAGGCGTTCTTCTTGAGCAGTAGTTCGACACACGATGAGTAGCCGTGGGAGGAGGCTCGGTGTAGGGGAGTGCACATGTCCGTAGTGCACGAGTTAACCTGAGAGAAGAGTGCACGTGAGTCACTTCTTAGACAAAATACTAATAAACTAGGTATGACTTTGCTAATCTAACCTAACCTCACCTCAAAGTGGGTTCCTTTGGACTGAAGAATAAATCTCACAAGGAGGCAGTATGGCCGGCACTGCACTCGACCGCTATCACATCCCAATGGTAAAGTTAGGTACCAGGGCTCAAACCAGTGACCCTGAGAACAGTTAGTGATAGTTGTATCCACTCTGCTGCCGCATCCCTTAATTTAAATTATTCTAACTTGACCTAATCTAGCCTAACCTAAATTACCATTACATAATCTAACCTAACCAAAATTAACATTGCCTAACCAAACTCAATAAAAATAAACCTAACCTAACCTAACCTATATATTTAAAGTAAACTTATCTAACATTATCAAACCCTCCCTTTCCTTATGTTAGTGCCATCACCTGTATCATACACATACACACACAGACAGGAAGAGAGAGAGAGAGAGAGAGAGAGAGAGAGAGAGAGAGAGAGAGAGAGAGAGAGAGAGATACTGACCGAGGCACCAGCTTCGAGGAGGACCTCCACAATCTGAGCCTGGCCCTCCACACAGGCCAGGTGGAGTAAGGTCCAGCCCAGCTGGTTGCGGGCGTTGGCGTCCCCTCCGTTCCTGAGGTAGACCAACACGCCCACCTTGTCCCCCTTCCTCAGCATGTTCACCACCTCTGACGTGTCCTGTGGGGAGATACCTGTTGTTAATACCTGTGAGAGACACCTGTTATACCTATGAGAGACAACTATTATACCTGTGAAAGACAACTGTTATACCTGTGAGAGACAACTGTTATACCTGTGAGAGACAACTGTTATACCTGTGAGAGACAACTGTTATACCTGTGAGAGACAACTGTTATACCTGTGAGAGACAACTGTTATACCTGTGAGAGACAACTATTATACCTGTGAGAGACAACTATTATACCTGTGAGAGACAACTGTTATTATGAGAGACAACTTATACCTGTGAGAGACAACTGTTATACCTGAGAGACAACTGTTATACCTGTGAGAGACAACTGTTATACACTGTTATACCTGTGAGAGACAACTGTTATACCTGTGAGAGACACCTGTTATACCTATGAGAGACAACTATTATACCTGTGAGAGACAACTGTTATACCTGTGAGAGACAACTGTTATACCTGTGAGAGACAACTGTTATACCTATGAGAGACACCTGTTATACCTGTGAGAGACAACTGTTATACCTATGAGAGACAACTGTTATACCTGTGAGAGACAACTGTTATACCTGTGAGAGACAACTGTTATACCTGTGAGAGACAACTGTTATACCTGTGAGAGACAACTGTTATACCTGTGAGAGACAACCTGTTATACCTATGAGAGACAACTGTTATACCTGTGAGAGACAACTGTTATACCTGTGAGAGACAACTGTTATACGGTGAGAGACAACTGTTACACCTGTGAGAGACAACTGTTATACCTGTGAGAGACAACTGTTATACCTGTGAGAGACAACTGTTATACCTTGAGAGACAACTGTTATACCTGTGAGAGACAACTGTTATACCTGTGAGAGACAACTGTTATACCTGTGTTATACCTGAGACAACTGTTATACCTGTGAGAGACAACTGTTATACCTGTGAGAGACAACTGTTATACCTGTGAGAGACAACTGTATACCTGTTTATACCTGTGAGAGACAACTGTTATACCTGTGAGAGTGAGAGACAACTGTTATACCTGTGAGAACTGTTACACCTGTGAGAGACAACTGTTATACCTGTGAGAGACAACTGTTATACCTGTGAGAGACAACTGTTATACCTGTGAGAGACAACTGTTATACCTATGAGAGACAACTATTATACCTGTGAGAGACAACTGTTATACCTGTGAGAGACAACTGTTATACCTGTGAGAGACAACTGTTATACCTGAGAGACAACTGTTATACCTGTGAGAGACAACTGTTATACCTGTGAGAGACAACTGTTATACCTGTGAGAGACAACTGTTATACCTATGAGAGACAACTATTATACCTGTGAGAGACAACTGTTATACCTGTGAGAGACAACTGTTATACCTGTGAGAGACAACTGTTATACCTGTGAGAGACAACTGTTATACCTGCGAGAGACACCTGTTATACCTGTGAGAGACAACTGTTATACCTGTGAGAGACAACTATTATACCTATGAGAGACAACTATTATACCTGTGAGAGACAACTGTTATACCTGTGAGAGACAACTGTTATACCTGTGAGAGACAACTGTTATACCTGTGAGAGACAACTGTTATACCTGAGAGACAACTGAGAGACAACTGTTATACCTGAGAGACAACTGAGAGTGAGAGACAACTGTTATACCTGTGAGAGACAACTGTTATACCTGTGAGAGACAACTGTTATACCTGTGAGAGACAACTGTTATACCTGTGAGAGACAACTGTTATACCTGTGAGAGACAACTGTTATACCTGTGAGAGACAACTGTTATACCTGTGAGAGACAACTGTTATACCTGTGAGAGACAACTGTTATACCTGTGAGAGACAACTGTTATACCTGTGAGAGACAACTGTTATACCTGTGAGAGACAACTGTTATACCTGTGAGAGACAACTGTTATACCTGTGAGAGACAACTGTTATACCTGTGAGAGACAACTGTTATACCTGTGAGAGACAACTGTTATACCTGTGAGAGACAACTGTTATACCTGTGAGAGACAACTATTATACCTGTGAGAGTGAGAGACAACTGTTATACCTGTGAGAGACAACTGTTATACCTGTGAGAGACAACTGTTATACCTGTGAGGACAACTGTTATACCTGTGAGAGACAACTGTTATACCTGTGAGAGACAACTGTTATACCTGTGAGAGACAACTGTTATACCTGTGAGAGACAACTGTTATACCTGCGAGAGACAACTGTTATACCTGTGAGAGACAACTATTATACCTGTGAGAGACAACTGTTATACCTGCGAGAGACAACTGTTATACCTGTGAGAGACACATATTGTTAGTACCTGTGAGACACCTGTTGTTAGTACCTGTGAGACACCTGTTGTTAGTACCTGTGAGACACCTGTTGTTAGTACCTGTGAGACACTCCTGTTATTCCTGTTAGAGACTTATACCTGTAAAACAATCATTGTACCAAAGATGTCAACCACACACGTTTGTCAAGGAAGTATTTTAGTGTCACCATAAGTGTACACATAAGTATAATTATGTAGAGACTATCACTAATGAGTAAACTTCTGAATGAATGCGAGTTGTTATGTCACTTGTTGACTCATTAAGAAGTTCTAGATATGAAGAGTCTCAAGTTAGTAACAATGGTGACATAAATAAAGAGATAGAGGGAGAGAAGGTGGTATAGTGTTCTCTCAGTGGTGGTAGGTGGTGGGGTGGTTTGTCACCTACCACTATCTCACTAATAAACACAATATGTGGAGTGTAGATATTAGTTGAGTCACTTACAGATTAGATAACTCGCCCCAGCTTATTTCACCTGACGATTTAACACCCTGATACTACTTGGTACCTATTGGCCCGTACTGGACAGTCCTGTTTACACCCAACCCCTATCGCTTATATATCCATCCAACCTATGTTTGAAGTTATCCAGCGTATTCCAGTTAATGGTGATGTTTGGTAACTTGTTCCACTCACCCATTACTCTATTTCCAAACCAATGTTTACCTATCTCGCTCATAAATCTAGATTTCTCTAATTTCAAACCGTTGTTACGAGTTCGCTCCTGGTTGGATAGTTTGAGTACCCTTGTTATATCACCTTTGTTTAGCCCTGAATTCCATTTATACACCTCGATCATATCGCCCCTCACTCTACGTCTCTCGAGGGAGTGCACATGAAGATACTTTAACCTGTCTCTGTACTGAAGGTTCCTATTGCCCGGCATTTGTCTTGTCATTCTCCTTTGAATTCTTTCTCGGGATTCTATATCCATTCCGTAATACGGTGACCAGAACTGAACTGCGTAATCCAAATAAGGTCTCACATTCGCAAGATATAGTTTTAGGATAGCCTTGCTAGCCTTGTAACTAACACTCTTTTGTATGAACCCAAGTACTTTGTTAGCCTTGTTTCGAGTAAATACACATTGTTGCCTTGATTTAAGAATCCTACTTATCAATTCTCCTAAATCTTTCTCACAGTCGGATTTCTCTTTAACAACGTTGTTCATCTGACATCTGGTTTCTCTGTTTACTTCTCCTAGACGAAATACTTTACATTTGTCGGCATTAAATTTCGCCTACCATTTTTCAGATCATACAAAAAATTTGCTTAGATCTTTCTGTAGTTTTGAGGAGTCCTCGTCAGATTTAATTACACGCCCTATTTATAGTGTCGTCAGCAAATTTACTTATGTTGCTATCTACGCCTATATATATGTTGTTTATGTTTATAATAAATAGTAATGGTCCAATTTACTGAGCCTTCGGGTACTCCACTAATGACGTTACCCCATTTGGATTTAGTGCCATTAATGATTACTCTCTGTTTCCTGTCCTGTAACCACGCCCTAATCTATTTTAGAATATCTCCTCCAATTCCATGAGCTTCCACTTTTCGTATTAGTCTTTCGTGGGGAACTCTGTCGAAGGCTTTGCTAAAGTCGAGGCATACCACATCATAATCGTGCCCGTCATCCACTGATTTGAAAACATTTGAAAAGAATGTTAATAGATTAGTCAGACATGAACGCCCACTTGTGGAGCCATGTTGGGAATCAGTGATCAACTTGTGCTACTCTAGGTGATCTCGAATAGAGTTTGAAATTATTGCTTCCAGCAATTTGCCTACAATTGATGTTAAACTGATTGGGCGGTAGTTAGAGAATAGTGATCTATTTCCCTTCTTGAAAATCGGTATCACATTTGCTATCCTCTAGGAATTTGGTACTACACCCGTTTTTAATGACATGTTAAACAAATTTGTAAATGGCTGTCATGGGTTGCGTTAGGCTTACCCACGCAACCAACCCCAAAGTTAGTTTTACTAGAGATAAGGCACCCGGCGAGCCATGACTGCGACATATTTTTTCCATTAGTGGTATGTTAGCCAGCCTATAGGAGGAGGCCAGTGAGACAGTGTTGTACTGTTCATCGCCTCACGCTCCAAAATCACATTTTAAGTAGTATCCCCTAGGCCATGGGTTAGTTAAGACGTCATCCCCATCCTCTCCCTCCTGAAGGGAAAGGGACACCACACAGAGTTCTCCACCACCACCCCGTCCTGTGACCGTCAGTGACACGAGACTTAAATGTGCTAACCTAAGTTGTTATCCCGTGGAAATATCACGTGTGCAAGCCTTGTTGCGACACGAGCAATCCAGGCTAGCCTATCAAACCTACAGTAAATGGTTAATCAATTCACACTTACAGAGTTCTCCTGCGCGACACCCGTCTACAGTGACCGTGATCGGCACGAGATTAAGTGTGTTAATCTAGGTTTGTATTCCCCGTGGAAAAATCACCTGTGGAAGTCTGGTTGCGACAAAAGCAATCCAGGCTGGCCTATTGCACCTGAGTGGTTAATCAAGTTACGCTTACCATTTCTCCTTGCCTCGAAAACCGTCTACAGTGACTGTCAGTGACCGAGACTATGTGTGGTAACCCAAGAGTACGTTTATGTTGTTATTCCCCGTGGAAAGAA